CAGGTTACGGTTGGCCAACACGAGCCACAAATGCATCTTGTTGATGTAGTAAGATTAAAAGGAGACACACTCTGCTGTTCTGGTCCATTTCTCGTCGACCCTTTCTTTTATTTATGTGATGGGCTTATCTCTGGTTCATTTCCCAAGTGCACTCTTCTGGAACTCAAAGACGAGGTAATCTTCGAAAGTTGCAAGCCCACCATACGGCTTGATTCTGTGTATGCAGGACACTGTTCAAACGTTCTGCTAATGGTGCGAAAATTCTCGAGATAGCTGGGCATATAAGCCAATTTCCAGCTGCCAAGGAGGGAGGTAGAAGGACGTTGATTTGAAAAGGTGAGGATGCAGTTTTAAATTCTTTAGTTGATCGTCGACTTCTCTGAAAATTCTGAATGGTGCAACGTGCTTGTTTCACTTCTGCACAAATTTTCCCTCATGTTGTTTCCCATACTCGAGCGCCTTGTGTACACGTAAGATGTTATCTCTGTAATCAGATAGTCATTCATTCTGTTTGTTCAACATCGCACCGCGCATTTTTCGTGAAATGGGATTCCGTTCGATCTATCCCCTAGTCTATCCCTTTTCCACATGGAGGAGATCCTTAGGCATCGCCTCTGTTCCACTTGTACTTTCAAAAACTTGGCGATGTCAACGGAAAAACAGGTGCCAGGCAGTAATTTTTCTTCATTGCGTCTACCACTGCTTGGGTACTTGTGTATGATGGGATCACTCATTCGTTGACGAGCGCCATTAGAATAGGAGAAGTAACGAAGCCACCGAAAGCAAAGGTTGGAATAAGGTGGAAGTGGCCACACACTTCTAGTCATAGTTTAGAGTGATCCGTAGAGAGGGAAACCTGTAGAGATCGTTTTTGGTACACTACTTGAACTTTATTCAATATTTTTGATACGGCAGAGAGGATACTTTTCCTGAATTAACGCAGAGCACACTCAACAAACAAATCAGGCGTTACTTTCAAGAGCGGTTGCTCATCAAGGAAAACGGTGAAATCATGCATTGTTGCAAAAATCCCTTTGTTTGCCCCCTTTGGGAATGATATCTGTCTGTGTAAGATGGACTGCAGCGATTGGAGATAGTCTCCGTTGCATGCTTAGTTTTAATATGAGTTGTAAGAAGTGCACCTAGTTCATGGCTTCCAACTAGAACTAAGTCGGCCGTGATGTTGTCCGATATGCTGGCTGTGCCTTCCTTCGCAGTTTTAAGCGAAACTCGGTGTTCAAGTGCAAAAAACGATTCTGTTCTTCTCCAGTGGAACTTCTGTAGTCTGAAAGAGAAGTTACGAGTGGAAATAATTGAAATAGAACTTTTCCGTTTTAGATTCCATGTTATGAGAAGGTAGTGGTAAACCCGTAATCGTTCATGAGCGCTGGAAGAGGAACATTTTACTCGCACACTCTTAACAACATTTCCTTAGTCTATTGGGTAGATGACAGTAGCTATTCATAGTTGTTATAGATGTTATACAGTGGCAACTCGTTACGTAGAGATAGACTGATGCTTCCAGATAGGTGTTATTGGTTGCCAAGAATTTTTGAACTTTTCGTCGCAGAAAGAAAGTCATTCAAGTAGGGATCGCATTAGGCAATATTCCTCTCATAGTTGTTACTCACACTGTTTTTACTTGAAAGAAGGGCTTCCGTATAGAAGTTATGATGTTTGACAAATTCCGAGGAAACCACGACGGTTTTGCAATCCGATTTCTGAAGTCGAATCTAAGGAGACTTGCTTTCTCACCGCTGCAGTTTGCATAATCCAACACAACTTTAAATAAGTGTTTTGTGCATGAAAGCTTCATATCTTTTGAGTGAAGCAACTATCAGATTAACAGGCTCTAATAGAGTGTACATTCAAGGTAGCGGCAGTACATAAACGCAAAGCACTGAACCACATGGTCACCGATGTAATTTATCGAATTCGACCAACTTACTGCACAGTAAGTTCAAAAATGATCATTTGATACATTAACTGCAAAACGTCCTAAAGATTACCACTCAGCAACGATTGTTTGGAAAGATAGTGTATATTAGCGGATTCGATGGGGGCGTTCCTCATTTTTATTGTAAACTTTATCGGGATTGTGCGTTGGCAAGCATCACCGTTGGTAGGTCTCATCACCTTTGTTACTTGTAATCATACAACTTATCGAGTGGGTCGAACGGGGAAAAGTAATAACTCTATTATCCTCTTCCAGAAGGACGCTTCCCACGGTGCCTAATTTTCACGAAAAACAGAAAAAACTTCACAATATGCCTTTTACTTTTTACTTTCTCGCGAGCGGGCATCCACAGACTGAATATTAGACGACCATTGTGAGTTGTGGGTAAAGATTAAAGGAAAAGGCGTTCGGCACCAGCGAATCTTTTTTAGATGTCTCATGCACTCGACCTCATTAGGCATTGTAGATGTGAATGAATGCATGATTATCTTATGCGATAACTTGCGGTGGCATATCGATGTATCGAATCAGTGGTGCCATCCTCTAGACAAGTCTGTTACCAAAATCAAAACCATGCAGTAATGAAGAATTTGATTAGCCAGAGACCGGATTTGACTCATCAAACATGGGTTTGCTGTGTGGACCCATTAAATAGCACATATCACAGGCGATGTATGTTACTCTTTATGTTCGATGTTCGTATCGCATTACACATAGTCTAAATAAAATTGAGCTGCTCAGGTTTTACGGGCTTATTTGTGGGAGCCGAGCTTGCAATGCTTTCTTTGCACTTTTCATTCACTTGATTAAACCAATCTACGTGTAGGACACAATTCAAATACAAATAATCTCAGCAACGCACTTGTGTATGACTTCAAAAAAAGATAGTCCGACAAGAGAAGGACAAAATAAGTCTGTTACTGGAATCCACCTGCGCTTCAGTAAAATTATTATATGGAGCCGTTGTTAATCTCTGTCTAATCCATTACACTGATTACGGATAACGTATCCTCGACTAATAAGGTTGAAATCTTCTTGTATTAAGAAGATTAGTTGGTCGAAGACCAAGAGTTCAAGAGTAGGTTCGTTTTATTATACCAGCAGAATATGTTGTGCTCCTCGTAAAAGTGACAGCAACCTAAAGCTAAATGGATGACGGGAAATGAAACATCTCGAAGTAGTTCTATCTAGAAATTAGTATCGTGAACTGATGGCTTTACAATCCTACTGCAGTTCACGTTAGACAGAAGTCTAACAGTTTTCTATCAGTATATCAGTTTTCTTATACAGCACCACAATTCCCGTTTATCCATCTTCAGATCTTCTCGCCGCAGCACGGGTGCATGACATTTACATTTTGACAAATAGTGTTCACTTCCTCATGATCATTAAATGGAGAAATTTTTTAAATACCTAAATTGAGAATATCGTTCATATTTTGAACATGTCAGATAAACTTCGAACGATTGTAGTTAGACTCTGTTTGAACAGTGCATAAAGTAGACCGTTGGGATGAAGGGTCAGCTCAGTCCTTTTGATTATCCTGTTTCGCTGATTCCCTTGATAAGATGAAATGTGTCACGTGCTTCTCTGCTTCTTCCAAATAATTCACTTCATACTCTACATTTATTAAATGAATTGGAAAGGTCATGTTGACTGCAGTTTACTAAGCCAAATACCACTGTTACCAAAAAAGAGAAATCACGAAACGAAAATTTCAATTGCATTGAAAATAAAATAGCTTCTTGGCACATTCATCGTTTTCTATATCTTCGTCTTGGACACTTCACGTGGAGACCAACCGCACAAAGTTCACATGGAAGTGGAATGTGCCTCTATCACATTGAAATATCAGTCCCCGATATTGTGTGAGATCCATGACGTGGAATCTTGAAATTTGATCAAAATGCCTGACGAATTTTGCGCGCTAAAGTGCTCGATTCTTTCGCAAAAAAGATACAGAGTTGAGATCTTTTGTTAATTCGCTGTTACTTCGGTAGCCAACCGGAATGACGTTTTTGTTCAGTAGAGTTGATGGCGGTGCATGACATAGGCAGGTTCCCTTATAGTAGGTGTTGGAATGTTTTCTGTTGGAATTCAAATCGAGCTTTTTCAGCACTTATTTTCGCCTGTGAAAAAAACCTGTTGTAAAAACCTTTTGAAAAGAATCTTCTGCAGCGGATAATTACTGCCAACCGTATTGGGTGCTCTACAATCCAATCTAGCTGCGGTTTCTTCATGCCTTCACCAAAAACTCCTTGGTGTTAGTGTAGATGCGATTCGAACCCTTTAGTGAAAGAATTTTCATGTGTTTGGCATAAATGTTGATTCCTCAGGCAAACAACTTGTAGTCTTCTAACGTGTCTTCTTTAATCAACCTGTCCTGCAGGGTTTCGCAGAGTGCTTTTTCCACATACGACTTGTCTTCATTTTTCGTCGAATAAAAAAGTAGCTCATCAGCTCAAAGCTTAAATCATGACAGCAAAGAGTCCGAAGTTTGCGTGTTAAACAACGAATAAGTACACATCCAACAGCGCTGTAGAAAAGTTGACACGAGTTTTTTCCGTAGGTAGTGAGAGTCTCAACGTTTTGGAGGAATCGGTTGAAAACTGGTGTGTTGCGCTGCCTCTAGGAACAGGTAGAGAACACGTTGTTCTACAGTTGCTCCGAGAAATAAGGTTGTTTTTATAACACTAGCTCACTTTTACGAGAAATCTGGAAATAGCCATGCTTTACCGTTACCATGTGGTAATTACAGGTAGCCGGAAACGACTGTGAATAAGTGAAACGTTGGACGATTAGCAGCACGGTTTTCTGTAGCACATAGCAACTATTCTTAGCATTTTTGTACTCCTAAATGGACTTCCAGATGGAAATGTCAAATACCTTCATAGTTCAGAACACTCCGCTAGCAGAGAAAATCCCTTGCAGTTCAGGAACACATTTCGTTAGGGTGGTGAGCCAAAATATTGAAAGATGCTTATCAGCTAAAACTTTGTATTGCAGATTCTGCGCATTAAAAGAAAACCTCATCCGTATAGCGATGCTTAACTTGGGTGTCTATTTGATTCTGCAACTCTTTTCTTGCATTTATCTATTCACTCAATGTAGTGGTGCCAAGAAGAAAAAAATCCAGGTGAATTTTTGAGAATCTAAAGGTGAACTGTTGCAATGTAGTGACAGCTGACACTGCTTCGCATTACGTTTTTGTACACTGCACCTAATAATTTCTGTATACTTTAGAATTGCGCCTATGAATAGCACTTCAGGTATCAAAGGATAAGGGAAAACACGCCGAGGCTAGTAAGAAAACGAAGTCAGCAGATGACGCTAAGAAGGATGGTGAGAAAAAGTCCAAGGAAGGTGTTCAGAAAGAGGCAGGGAAATCCAAGTCGGGTAGGAAGGCCGATGAGAAAAAGAAGGAAGGAAAGAAACCCGAGCAGAAGGAGGACAAAAAGGAAGAAAAGAAGGAAGAGAAGCCTGAGGAGAAGAAGGAAGAGAAACAAGGGGAGAAGAAAGAGGAGAAGAAAGAGGAAGTGAGAGAAGAGAAGAAAGAAGAGGAAAAGAAAGAGGAAAAGAAAGAGGAAAAGAAAGAAGAGAAACAAGGAGAGAAGAAAGATGAGAAGAAAGATGAGAAGAAAGAGGAGAAGAAAGAGGAGAAGAAAGAGGAAAAGAAAGAGGAGAAGAAAGAAGAGAAGCAAGGAGAGAAGCAAGGAGAGAAGAAAGAGGAGAAGAAAGAGGAGAATAAAGAGGAGAAGAAAGAGGAGAATAAAGAGGAGAAGAAAGAGGAGAATAAAGAGGAGAAGAAAGAGGAAAAGAAAGAGGAAAAGAAAGAGGAAAAGAAAGAGGAAAAGAAAGAGGAAAAGAAAGAAGAGAAACAAGGAGAGAAGAAAGAGGAGAAGAAAGAGGAGAATAAAGAGGAGAAAAAGGACGAAAAGGACGAAAAGAAAGATGAGAAAAAAGACGAGAAGGAAGAGGATAAGAAAGACGAGAGAAAAGATGAGAAGTCTGATGCAAAGAAGGAAGATGAGAAGCAGGCCGAAGGAAAAGAAAAGGAAGACGAAAAGAAAGAGGAAAAAAGAGACGAGAAGGACGAGAAGGAGGACGAAAACAAAGAAGAGAAAAGTGATAAGAAGGATGCTAATCAAGGAGAAGAAAAGAAAGAAGAAGTCAGTTAACGGACTTTAGTTTTCAGTTGATATTTCGTGTGAATACACTACTTTGTTTTCAGCTGCCAGAAGACAAAACGGTGCTACCTGAACAGGTATGTATAATTTTGATACAAAACATGATTTAATTCGCACATAGTGTGCGAAGTGAACTGACTATAATGTATTATGTGAAAAAACAATAGCTGGTTCCAAACCGATGAATCTCAGCTCATATCAGAATCTACTAGTTGGAATGTGAACGTCACTAGTATCTACGACTCTTTAATTACAAAAAACAAGCTCTCTTATTTCACCAAAATGAAATTTCGACTTCCTGGAACCTACGACAAATATTCCTTCCACTTTGTGGCGTCAAAGTTCCCATTACAAACACGAAAGAAAATGAACAAGTTGGATTGGGTTCAGCACGACATCATGGTCTTCCTTGATGTATCGCCAATGTTTGTAGCTGACGCTCTTCAGTTAGTTATTTTAAAAGTTTTGAAAAATTGGTCTCAACTTTCTGGTTTGGAAGGACACTGCCTTAGAAATAGGAGAGGAGTCAAGTAGGAGTTAAGTGCTGCAGAAAATCAGAATTTCAACATGGTGAAATATGAAATATTTTACGTTAAGGCTAAAATAGGTATATTCTAATGATTTTTATTGGAATAAATAAAATTCACTATGGGCTAAGAAATTGTAGTTCAATGTTGAAAGAAGTCGTAAAATTTTCATCAGCGTGAGTCTCTTAAGGGTCACATAGTATTAGTGTTAAATGTAGTAGCACTTTTTCCATACATTTGAGATACAATCACAAAAAGAACCATTTTCATTTTTCGACGTACATCAGTCCAAAAACTTTCAATTGCTCATCTTGTGGTACTCACATAAGTAACAGACCGGAACGATCAGTTGAAGAAAAGAGCATGCAAAAATGACTGCGTATGAAGCTGAAATAAAGAAATATTCAAGAATACGTGAATTATTGAAGAACGACAAACACTAGTGGATACTATCTCGATGATAAAAGTCCACTAGGTTTCTCGGTCTCGACTTTCGGGTTCGGTATCATCGAGATATTGAATTGAACTTCAATTGGTTTCGGTCATTCAGATTTGGAAACGCGTGGAATAAATGAAAGCAGCTAACTATTTAAGCTACTAACAAGCTTCGTTCTGATTCCAATTTGGAATTTGTTGCACATTTCAGCATTTCTGAGAAAAAAGGGCCCTCAAATTTCATATTAGTAGCCACTACAATTAGTCCGTAAAAAGCCACTACAATTAGTCCGTTTTCAATGGCTTGTGGATTACGAGCAATTTTTCGTCGGCTGCAGACTTTCTGCTTTTTTGACTATAAAAAATATTTTCAATAACTAGAGAACTTACGGGAGTTAAGGAAAGGGTTACTATCCAGTGATAAAGGAGCTTCGACGGTAAAAAATTGCACAGGTGTGCCTTTTTCAAAAATATTCAATTTGACCCAATAATCTTCAATATTTAGATAGACGCGAAGCCACAGCAAGGAAAACCCGATGGTGAGACGGGTTATAGTAAACTCTTACCCACTGCACACTTCAGAGACATAACAGCCAAGTTTTACAGAGAAAATAAAACTGAGTACTACAAGTATAGCCTGGGATGCGAAAAAAGGAACACAGGTGACCAGCTTATATTGCTCACGTTTTGAGCAACACTGCATTTGTTCGCCCGCGACGTGTGTGTGTGTGTGTGCATGTATGTATGTATGTATGTATGTATGTATGTATGTATGTATGTATGTATGTATGTATGTATGTATGTATGTATGTATGTATGTATGTATGTATGTATGTATGTATGTATGTATGTATGTATGTATGTATGTATGTATGTATGTATGTATGTATGCATGTTTGTGCGTATGTGTACCATCTCCCCACAAAGATAGGACTCATGACTATTCTGGAAATGGTTTAACAATCTTCCAATGAGTCCCGTAAACAGCACTCACGGTAGTGTCATAAAATACCCATAAAAATGTCCGACGAAAACCGGCTATAACAAAGGTCTCAGTACTTTGGCAGCAAACGAACATCGTATATATAAGTACTAAAACGGTTGAATGTGGGGGAAAGTATGAATGCGTCGTTTTCTTGTTCAGCAATCGCGAGGTTGATAAACAGCATACATTTACTTCCATAGAAAAACGCAATACAATACAACAATAGCTGACGTTCCGGCAGTATCGCCTTCTTCAGAGCCGCTGTTTTCGTGACTTCTAATAAACCTTCGTGGATGATGAATGTGAGGAAACAAATCGAATTCAGAAGTGCTTGGATCCACCCAACGCGGTTCATGTGGTATCGGGACATGTATGTACAGGGGCTTAATGCGTCCACTACGTTGTCGAATCAACCCAATGATAGGCTGCGCCGCAGGCATAACTAACGGTATCACTACCACTACACTACCTGTTTAATGACATACAATTTTTTGCCAGGGTATTTTCTTTTACTGTGAAAACGCCATAGGAGGAAAGAAATTTGATGGTAATTTGGATTCTCAACGTCGTTAACTTCGAGTGTTTTCCCCAGTGTTTGTGGTGCCCCATTCTCATCATGAGACCAAAAACCAACCGTTGCAGCAATTCAAAATTACCAACGAATCTGACAAGAAGCAGGCTCTAAAAATAAAGTGCTCCAACAACGCAATGTACAAGTACGTAGCAGCTCTTTTTCAAAAGAAAGAACAATAATATTAAATAAAGCTTTAGAGTTCGAACTTCAAAAAAAACTTCAAACTTCAAAAACTCAAACTTCAACGCTTCAAATTTTGGAAAGTTATTGGTTATACGTATGGGCGCAGTGTTCGCAAGCGCTCTGCAACACACACATGGAAACGGTCGCCGCGCCCCTGGCCAACCAATCCCTCTGGGATTGGCAGGTTGCAGGTTGCCTGGGAGGATTGCAGCACTGGTTCGTTACATTGATAGGCCACCGCGAGTCATCGTAAGGCAAGATGTGCATTCAGTCATCTCCAAACGATGCTTAAAGAAGTCGAATGCATGACGCATCTCTCAGGGATTGATCAACGCCGAGAGCTTTATCCTTTATTTTATTTGTTTTAGGTGCGCTACAGCGGGGGAATCACAAAGAGACGGTACGAGTCACATACGACTCATACCACTAGTGAAGGAGAACTATGCCTTATCTAATCCTTCTTCTCTTTTCACTTCGTCAGATACTCTTCTTTAGAACGGCTCTCTTGAAGGACATTTATTTCACCATTTCTGTGACTCACTGCTTAAAATTTGAACGCGTTGTCAAGCCACGGTTTCAATTTTCGATCCGAAATTCTCCCATAAAACTACTGTGCCGCGGTTAAAAACATACGTACCAATTTTTGGTCAATGAAACTAAATATTTACTATTCATCACGCATTTAGGCTGTATCCGGTGTATGGGCTCATTGAACCAGGAAAAACTCTCGAGGTTCACGTATCTAAGGAGGAAGGACCAACAAAGCCTGGAATACTGCATCTCCTCACCACACCAGTGAGTAGAGTTAGTCTACGTTCTTCTTTTGATTACCAGAATTCCCAAGTCACATGTGCTTGCAGTTTGATGGAGACAAGCCCGAGAAAGCGTACGAGAATAAGGATCTCGTCCCTGCTGTCGCAGTTGTAACTTTAATTGAAAAGAAATGAAAATAAATCGGATGAGCAATCTCTTTACTGTTCACTAATAACATCTAGTATAATAACGAGGTCGAAATTACTGTACAGGGATCTTTTTTCGTTTTCAAAGATGAATTTCGATGACAAGGTGTTCGGGGAACTACGACAAACTATAGTGAATAGGCGATTTCCAAAACAACGATAAATTCATTGATTGGGAAGAGTTAATAGAATGTGATACTTCATATTTCTTGCATCAGAATTTACAATATTTCCTTACTAAACGGACATTTCAAAAAGCAATTACGAACGTGAAAGATGAGATGACATTCACATACACGTTTCGGTAGGAGAGTCCAAAACAGAAGAAAAAACAATGTTAACTTTTTATTTACTGCCTACTACAATTTTCCACGGCAGGGTCACGTGTCAGAGGTGAGGAGCGAATGCGCTATTATCCTTTCCGGGGCTAACGCTTTCACCACCATGCGGGTCCTTCGTTTCGCCTGTCTCTCAGCTAGTTCTATCAATTAGTGCCATCGGCAATAATACCCTACCGAGGAAAATTGTAATAGGCAGCAAATAAAAAGATAAAAAAACATAAACTAAAAAGGAGAAAAATAGGCACATTAGAAAACATTGACTACCACTTATTATCATTGAGACGTAGACACAATTCACGTTCAGTCCACGATGGATCCACTATGCACGCCGACCATCTAAAAATAAAACCATTCACCTACGCCTTTCCTTGAATACATTATTCGCTTAGTTTCATTTCCATACAAATTAACATATAAGTGATCGCATGTGCGTAGCGCCGATGTGTAAGAGCAAACCACGTGTATTTAGTTCAAGTCATAATTTAATGATTTTAACTTTAAAATTGTTTGTTTTGTTTCAAAGGTTCATTTGATAAACTTTTTATACTCAAAAAATATCTTAACCAACACGGATGTTCTAAGCATCAGCCGTAAAAGTCTACTCTTTTTACTTGATAATTAACGCAAAACCTCTCTTCGGACCAACTATTCAATGGACAGCGCATGCGGACGAAAATTACGCGTAAACTCAAGCGACCACCACACAAAATTAGGGATAGTGGCTTATGCATTAAATATTTCCCTCGTATTACTTTAAAAAGCCCATATTTCCTTTTCGGGTTAGAAAAACCTTAGAGATTTTGGTAATTAAACGTTTTATCGGAAGAAACATCCATTTCTCACGTTCGTAAAACTACGAGATGGTACAAAACTTCGACTTGTGACGAATTTCATTCATAATTGATGGCATTACGGAAACTCGTGCATAAAAAGATAACGGATAACACTTTCGGAGTTGATCAATCCTTGAGGGTTGCGGCAGGCATTTCGACTTCACTAAGTATCGTTTGGAGGTGATTGAATGCATATATGGCCTTTACAATGACTCACAGTGCCCTACTGATGTATCGAGGCAGTTTTTTTTACTGATTCTCCTTTGTGCTATACCAACCCTATTATTTCCATCTTTCTCTGCTGTTAAAGGCACTGACGCTGTGAATTTTGCAGCTAGGATTCGTATTATCCATTGGCGTTGTACATGAGTCTACCACTAAAGTTTTCCTAATAATGTAATAAAGTTTTTGACGACATCTGTATTAGGTTCCGGGTGGATCATACAGGAATAAAACAAAATACAGAAAAGGCAGGAAAGTCGAAGTAGAAAAAATCGCTGTCTGCGGAAAGCACTTCTCACTAGCACATTGAACCACAGCGATGCCGAAATGAGTTATATCTGACCCATATGACACGAAAATACTTGTGCACTCCGACTTCAAAGAAATAATTCTCAAGTTATGGTGACTTTAAATGATTAGAAAAAAAGGAATTAGAATCTACATATTTTCGCATTCAAGATAAAGAACTTCTATTCCACGCAATAAAATCGTAGACTTTTTCAGTCACAAAGTCTGTTTTAAAAAATCAATCCTTCAAATTTTTCAGAACTCGGATCTTAAATAAACTAAAACTGAAATAAAGTTTTAGAAAGATTGTATACACCATTAGAGCGATACGATGAACCCCGTTTTTAAAATATGTCACGTTTTTAACTTGTCAAGAACATAACTAATGGTGAGTAGGCGAGAGCCCATGAAAGTTAGACGCTCTCCTACCCGGCCGCCACGAAGATTGAGAATCGTCACTAATCTGCCACGCTCAGAACAGATTAGTGCCAGTTATAGCCACACCCTATTCGATGCAAAAAGATATTAACTCCTTGAGAGAAACATTTCAAAAACGCATTTCACTGCACCTGCTCTCCTCCAAAATTTCCCACCAGGCATCACCATTTTCAATAAGATCGGCGTTAGCCTCTTCAGCTGTCGGATTGTAGGGATCTACATAAATAAAATTTCTAAAGTTACTTGAGAACAATAATTGGAAGCTAGGAACTGAATTCTTTCGTGAGAACTCGCTCATTATCTGAGTAGTTCTTATCGCATTTTCTCAATCACAACATATATTCAGCAAAATTCCTCTTAAAGCCGTATTATCTTTCGAAGAAACTGGTTTATTTCAGTATTTAAGAAAAAAATGTGTATAAATCTTACAGACGAGTTCTGAAGGTTGAATAACAACCGGCTGCTGTTGTTGTTGTTGTTGCTGCTGCGGGTAGGCATAAGTAACTTGGGATTGCTGTTGTGGTTGTTGATACGTCATCTGGTAAGCAACCAACGATGGGTCACCAATCTATTGTGAACAGAAAAGAAACATCGGGATTTATTAGACGAAATAGGTGTTTATACAATGTTAGCTCACCAGCTGAGGCTGTATTCCATCACGAATCTGATGACGCGGAAGACGTTGTTTTGCTGCTGCCAATTTCAGAAGCATTTCACGACCACGTACCACCGTTTTGTTCATTTCCACATGAATTCAAGAAAGATAAGATATTGAAAATATAACACTACTTTAGATTTACTGGTAAAATGGGACAAGAAGGAGACTACAGTTCACCCACAAATCTGATCTTGACTTCAAAGGTTGACAATTTTAGTTTGAAGGAAAAGCAAAGAAGCCAAAGTATCAGGCCAACAACATATAGACAGAATTTCAAAAAGATTGAAGAACAAGCATACCAGTGCCATTTGCTGTTCGGTTTGATCGCCGAATCGTATAAATCCAAGGCATCGAGACGATCCGTCACGGTTACGGTACACTTTGGCACCTCGACAAGAACGATATCGTGCACCAAACACCTACAACATTGCTTTGACTAAAAAAAAGTTCATTTGTAAACTATGCATATATAACCTGGTAAAGAGCAGCATCGTCAATATCCGGATGTATGTTATTAACAAAAAGATTGAACTCAATCGACCTGAACAATTTACATCAACGAATGCAAGAGTAAGTTGTCTAAAATGACACCACATTCGCGACTAAATGCCTTGATTTGAATACATGCGGTTAGAAAGCTAACCTATCCTTCTAACCCAAAACAAAAACATTTTCTTTAATATCGAGCTTCATTAAAATAAAAAGAGATAAAAGATCACGTGTATTACTTATAATTCTTTCGATTGTCTAGTGACTCGAGCAGACGCCAGTAAATTTTCTATTTTTTCCCGCCGCGTGCAAGAGTACCCCAGTGGGTTCTGCCCGTTAAAGGGATTCGTTGAGCATCATATCTTTCCTCTAGACAGAACTCTAGCAATAATCGGGTCGGCGGTTTTCCAGCAGTGCGTTTAAAATCCATCCCGAGGAATCCAGTCGTTAACGGTTCTTGTCCATCGGTTATCGTTCATTCGCATGTGTGCGGCCCACCTTATATTCGGCTGTTTGGCGTAGAGGACAGCATCATGGATTTTTTATCGTTGATGTAGGTCGGAGCTTCGGATTCCCTCTTTCACTTGTGCGAAACAGAATACTCCTAACATCGTCCTTTCGACTGCCGGTTCTATAACGCTGAGTGGTCATTCATCCTGCTCACGCAGCGACCTGATTTTTCACACAAGCCTTAAGGCAGGAAGGATCGTGAAATCGAAAACGCGCGCCTAGTGTCGAGGTTTTTGTATTATTCACTACATCCTCGATGCTCTTGAAAGCTACCTAAGCCACTCGTTTCCTTTTGCTCAACTCTGGAGCCAAGTCAATAATCAACATGATTTCCCGACCTAGATAGATGTAACTGGAACATTCGGAGATGTTCGTTTCGTTAAAAGTGAAGGGGCATACGAAACCAACCCGTTCCTCATGAACATCGTTTTCGCGAGATTTAGAGAAGACCAATCTTTGTACAGGTTTTATCAAAGTCGGAAAGCATACATTCCGCTTGGCTAATCGTTTGGTGTTATAAGGACGATGTCATCAGCAAAACCAAGATGGTGTAATTGCCGACCATTGATCTTCATTCGCATGTTATCCCATTCCAATGTTCGCATGACGTTTTCGAGGGTGCACGCAAATAATTTTGGTGACATGGCATCGAGGCGGTGGTCTGATCCCGTATAGAATTTTGGGACAACAACGACATCGGTAAGGCAAAACCTTCTGTTTACCATGAAGTGGTCTATTTCATTATAGTGCTCTCCATTTGGAGACTTCCATGTCCAGTGTTGAGAGTGGGACTTCTGGAATTGCGAGTTACCTTGGATGGTCTTGGTCGTCATGATAAACTAGGACAGCCGCCCACCTAGTTCGTTCCATTTTGATCTGTGGGTTCGAACGTGACGTTCTGCAGACGTCCTTCTTGGTCCAATCTTAGCGTTAAGATCTCCAGTGATGACTTTGGAGAATGTATGGCCTTCTCTGTAGAACTTGTCCAAGTACACATAGAACGCTTCGACTTCTTTTTCGTCATAGTTTGACGTCGGCTCGTAAACGGCGAAGATTGTCAAAGCCAGTAATGATCTACATCTCTTCAACCGTAAACGTCCGATTCGGGTTATCAATTGTTTGGATGAAACGACGTTTATGGACAAACCTTTGTTGACGAGAACACCGACGCCGCCGACTCCTCTATCCCGCCTGCTCCGAGGAACAGTCCTTCTCCGGTGTCATAGATAGCGCAGAAAGGCCGGTATCTTCTCGTCTCGGTCAGGCCGATGACGTCGTACCTTGTCCTTCTTACTTACATGAGCAAGTCTTCTGCAAGTGTGCGTGCACTGTAGGTACAGACCGTCTCCATAGTTCTTTGAAATCTAGGCAGCTTCCATTGGCCCTGAGATTTTAGCAGCCTCTCCGTACTCATCCAACCCAATTCTATCGAATCGGGAGCTCTTTCGGGGTTAGGGGAATGAAGCCCATTTAGTTTACTGTTTCTAGTCTTTTGATACCCACGTATGCTTAACTCCGAACGTAGAGGCTGGGTATACTCACGGGTAGTTTGCCAGTCTCTCCCAGAGTGGACATGGAGCTTATTTGTTGGTGGGGCTCCTAACCGCCTCTCTGTTACTTGATTGCAGACTTCTTGCCGAATTGATTCGTAGAATACAATCCGCATAAACTTGAACGCATCCACACACGTGTGCATGAATACGCCTCGTAAACGCAGAAACTATGTACCAAATCAGCACAGCAGGAAAAGGGAGTCCATTTCCCGGATCCACCTGCGTCTCAGGGTCGCTTTCGGTCCGTGATGAACCCCCTATCTACCTACCACCCGAGGACGCGCCACGCAGCCCCGTGACTAACCGGCTCGAGATCCCTCCTATGAGGGAGATCTGTGGGAGATAAAAGATAAAAATAAAAATAGAGTGGAAAGAGGAGAAAACAGAAAGTAATCTACAAACTATTATCAACAACGTGTGAAATTCTAAACTTTTGAAGCACCTAAACCACTTTTTCCCTTCGTTTTTCCGTCAAAATTTGTATTTCATGATGCAAAGCGACTGAACAAGCAAGATTTCCTAAATTAGGACAAGGTAGGATCACCGAATGTGTCATTCGGTGATATTAGTAGCTGCATTTCCATCGAAAAAGGTAAGTAAAAGGTAATTGGGTAATTAAAAATTTGACAGGATTCGGGTTGCGCAGAATGTGGAACGGTTCGCACTGCAGTTTTCCATATTTGAAGCAGATGAACGGATAACAAAAGCATTTGTATTCGTGGCAAGGTAACAGGTGAATGTTGCACACCGTGCCTACTTATACGGTCAAAGTAGTTCTCCCGGAGTCAAAATTTCCGCATATAAGGATGTCTTGCTATCGAGAACAAGAGGTCCCAACAAGGTAACGCATACGATTAAATCTGTCGCAAAACACTTGTCGTCATCGGGAAAGCTCATGGCTTGCGGAAAGCAAAAAGATTAAAATTTACTTACGGCATATCAAACTCCTTCACTCTTACTGTATTGTACGACCAGTTAACACATGTATTACAATTCGCGGATCGTAGCAGTACTTGTATTCGAATCGTCTGCTCGCATCCATTATCCCCGAAGGTCTTCGGATTTATTCTTTCGCGTTTCGTACTGTTTTTAGGTTTTTAGGTCGTTCTCCTGATCGAATTTTAATTTTTTTTAGGTCCTGATCAAGAATGCCGTTGAACGCTGGTCGAGCTGATTTTCCATGGAATCATGCGATAGCCGTGCTAGAGTGTTCTAACATGCGCTAGTGGAAGTCAGCTTGTACGATGCTGGTCTGTTATCGATCTCTTGACCTCGGAGGGATTAGAAGCTTATTGAGCCCGTGGTGGGATCGAATCAGTGCTTTAGCAAATTGGGCTGACCACGTAATGAACAGGATCACAACAACAGAGATCAGTGGATAAAAGTAATACTTGGGAAAAATCGTAAACACGGTAAATCTGCCAAGTACTGTAGTACACATGTTATCAGAAAACAACCAGTACGTGAGAGGATGAAAAACCACTTAGTGCTATCGAAACCGCAGTAGAGAGAGTCACGAGAGATACCTGTAGTGATGGAAATGAGAGAGGTTATCCGAAATTGCGATCTATGTCAACGATGATAAGAGACGCTGTTGTGCACGCTATAATGTCAAAAATTAGGTCAGCCGTACACGTAACCTGACCGTCAGAACTCTTCATGATGATCCTATAAGACATGATGCACAGTTAGTACCTAGAGCGAGCGGAACTCACTGCGCTACTTTTGCACGCGAAAGAGACAAAGGGACTTTTTAGTAGTCCTCTCGAGTTAATCGCCGATCAAAGAAAAGATGGGTAATACTGGTGGAAATTCAAAAATTTTATTGCTTCAAGTTGAAAGTGGTTATCAGTTTCACGCCGTATGCATTGAAATCAAGTCGTTCGTCATGCGTTAATAATTGAAGGAAAGTGGCATTGACGTACGGGACTCGTGGATCGTTGGCAAAGGAGAGATTGAAGCGAGAACGAGGCTCACTGTTCGGGACTTTATGTCCATTGGCTCTCAGCATTGCGTCCCGTGCTTCATCTGTCGTTGCGAATTCGACAAAACAATACGCGCATGTCTGCAATGTTTCATTCAAAAAGCTTAAAGTGATTCTTAACGAACCAAAAACGACACGACGGATCACTCAAAGAACAGTGATTTGAAAATATAACGTAACAAAAGTAAGATTTCGCAGTTTCTGTGTGAGAACTAAGACCAAAGCTGTATTTAGCAAAAGCGTGGTTTGAAACGTAGAGTTTATAGCCTGATGCGGTTTCAAAATCGTATTAAACTTCAACCATTTCTTTGAGACTACGACTAATACGTAAACTCTACTACAATGCAGATAAAACAGTATTTGTCGCAGTAACTGAACAAATATTTGTTTCAAACCATCGAAAAGACAGTGTCAACCATTTCTGAAAGAAATATGTAGGGATGGAGTCATAATGACAATAACAAAGGCACAAGGACTTACAAGTGGCTTTATATAGTATAGAAATTTAAGGACCAATGTCTAAATTTGGTTGGTTCACGCGTCTATTTGACCACAATTTTTTAGCGCACTCGCTCTGAGTGGATAACTACTCGCACCGGTTGACCAAGCATATGGCCCAGCCCATTTCGTTGTGTCTTAACTCTATAACTCGGTTTACAAAGGCATTTTACCAGCACTTTAAGTGGGCTATGTTACTTGCGTATTGTTTACGGTATTCTTTCTATTTCCCGTTACTTTTGAAACACCTCGAGCATTTATGTGTGACGAAAAAACGTTGTTGTTAGAATTTGGCAATCGGTTGCATAAGTGTAAGACAGGATTTTTCTTTAGCAATTCCGTCATATAACAATGAACCACCACAATTATTATAGATAAAAACAGTAATCAATTACTGGTCAAAATTCTTATTTATACGCCCGATATATGGTAGGTAATACCGGCTTTTCGATAACTACAGTACTTGAGCAGTTGAGAACTTTGAAGGGTTATAGAACAGGGCTAGCTCTACGTGTATATAGAAATTTCATAAAATGTTGCTTTCAATTCAATTATTTGTCCCAATTTAAACATTTAAAAAATTGAAAACCAACGTTGAGAGTTTGAAGCCGTAAAATTAAGCGCGAAAACAGGAAACATCAGCGATACGGCATTGCAAGACACCCTGGTGACTTGCTGAACGAAATCACACCAATTCAGTCGCCGAAGAAAAACTACGTTTCATAGGTTCGAGAATGTTAAAAATTAAAATTCAAATTTGATATGGTATGAATGGACCTATGTTGTCCTCAAAAATGTGGAAACTCTAATGGATGTTATTTCGGTTGTCCTTTTTGAAGGGTAACAGTCTCTCTAGTGGTTGCTCTTTTAACCAGCAATACTCTTTCGCCTACAAAATGATCATTTCACAAAAGTTCTTCTCGTAAAATGTTAAGTATTCTGAATAGGTCCCAGGATCGACTTTCTATTAACCTCGGCATTGGAATATGAATGTGTCGTTTTCTTGTTCAGCAACCGCGAGGTTTTTAAACAGCATACATTTACTACCATAGAAAAACACAATACAATACAACGCTAGCTGACGTTTCGGCAGTATCGCCTTCTTCGGAGCCGCTTTTTCGTGACTTCCAATGTGGAAGTTTAGAACAGCTGATTATAGTCGCATGTGGTTGACAACCACGTTTTTCTATGGAAGTAAATGTATCCACAATGTTGCTGAGATATTTGCAAAACTCTGGACCGCAGGTGTCTATGGTGGGGAACGAACGCGCTATTATCCTTTCCGGGAGTAACGCGTTCACCACCACACCATGCGGGTCCTTTGTTTCGCACGTCTCTCAGCTATTTCTATCGATCTTTTTGCCACAGCAATCACCCGTCAGCGGGGTTGATCTGGGGAGCGCAAATCGGCATAGAACCCAGTTAAGCTATGGCTGTAGTTGAAATCATAATGTTTTAACGTTTTGTTTTCTGCCTTCTATAATTTTCATGGCAGGTTACTAAGCGAAATACAACCACAATGTTGCTGCGGTCCAGAGTTTTGCTAATATCTCAGCAACATTGTGGTTGTATTTCGCTTAGTAACCTGCCATGAAAATTATAGAAGGCAGAAAACAAAACGTTAAAACATGAAGTAAATGTATGTTGCTTAAAAACCTCGCAATTGCTGAACAAGAAAACGATACATTCATATTCTGAATAGGTTTCCAGGTCCCATGCTCCTTATAACGATCTGAGTTGGATGAGCTATTGACTGATTACAAAAAGTACAACAAAAAACCTTTGCAAGAGAAAACAAGCAGTTCCACATGTAAGTGGAAATCTACTTACGTCCGCCTCTAATTATTAAAAATGCATGGATCACAGAACACTACGGACATGTGGCCAAAAATAGGATAAAACAAAAGTGGTTTAAACCTACCACACCCGTATGTTTATCAGTCACCATTTTCACCGTAGACGGAGTGTGACCAAGCTCCTAAAAAAAGCACTAACTAAAGTAATGTATCCTTGGACGAATCAACCCATGGTCTCGATCCGAATACCTTAAACGCCGTTGAAATAAACTGTGCGTCCCATTGTGGCTGCAAATCGCCCATCCACAACGTTCGATGACAGTCAAGCGTAGTGTAAAGATTAGATCTAGGGTAATCGGCAACATCCTCATCATATTCTCCCCCACCACCAACAATCATATCTATCGAAGATTCTAGAACTAGAAAAAAAACCATGAATTTCCATGTTGAGAGCCAGAAAAAGCAAACGACAACTCAAAGTTGTCACGCTGATGAAAGATAGTGAGAGAATGAACATCGAGTATGGCATCGAAAAACTGGGCATATGTCAATCTTTATTTAATTTGGTATTAATGAAACCCACTTAAATTAATCATATAAAAGAAAAACCACACGTACAATAGAAAAACACATTCCAATCGCGTACTAAACAAACTGGATGGTGTTAAGACATAAACAGTGAGATACACTTCCATTGAAAGCTCACACACAACAACAAACTGACAAGAGTTTTCAGGTTTGCATTCCGTTAACCCACGACGCCAACCAACAGAAAAAATCTTTGTGGGAAACTAACATAACAGAAGACGACGAGAAATGACTGATTTCATATCAAAATAAGTAACAGCAACTATAACTAATAAGTACGACTAACTGGCGCCAAAGACGCAGTTGTTAGATATGCCGCGCAATAAATACAATCCTGGTCGATGGCTCGACCTACCCTAGACCAACCTTCAAGTTTTCCAACTTTTGGGATCAACAAAGCGTTGTCAGAACTCCCTGGAAAAGTGAAAAAAAATCTAGCGAAGGTGTCACAAGATTCCAAAACAAACTAGACTAACACTAAACAAAGCCCTCAACAGGTAAGCGAACAGAGTGTAAATCGGAAGACTTTTGTAGATGACAGATGTGATACAAAGAAACGAAATTCTGGGATCCTCAGGATATGTGATGTAGGCTGGTACAAATTTTCGAATAAGAAATAAGAAACGAAAATTTCTCTCACATGTGTAGCAAAGAACAGCAAGCGAAATGGAAGGCTTCGCAGTCCTAAAAATCAGAAAAGAACAACAAAATGACGAAATGTGAACCGATTTATCGCATTTCGTTATCATAATGAGTAATACAGGGAGCGGATAGCACTGTGGCAGTGATGTCCGTCATCACGAGCATGGTGTTATTTCGATTCTGCTCCGTGCCAATCAAGCCCCTCATCTCTTCCTGGTCGGGAAATTGGTACCGGACTTGTCCGGGAGAAGTAGCTGTTTCTAATCTAACTAGAAACTCTCCAGCTCGGCTATCTTAACACTCCAGAGAGAATCGACTAGACCAGCATTCCACGACATTCAATATGAAATGAAAATCCTCAAGCAGCTACCGAAGCCATACGTAAAAACTTGGAAGATCTTCGTGGACGATGTAAGCGAGGAAACGAACTGGATGTGAGAAGTGCTGGGATCCGAACAGTAGACGTGAAGACGGATCAAATGAAAATAAAAAAAAAGAGTACTACAACTCTCTTCGTAAAGAAATAACCAGAGGAAGTAGGCCACTTTACTTCTTGTTACAGTTTCCATATATTTGAAAACTGGGCTTCAAATAGGGATGAAAAGGGTTAATGAAAGTTTATGGGTATAAATCATTGCGGCGCTAGTTAAACTATTTTCAACTATATGTGCTCAGAGAGACAAAACGGCCAATGTACAACAGGCAGTTGAAATAAGCATTACAAAATGCACAGTAACTGGCCGTTGTCAGTGCTGAACTGCTCTGACAGAGTAATCACAATCGATAAAAACACGATCAAACCATCAAAAACATCATCGCTAGGCGTGAGCTTTCATTTTCTACTCGGTGGTTGAAGGGTTAAGTGAGTTCACGAAAATGTTCACTGGTCGGTATGGAAAGTTAGTGATACGGTAATCGCTCCAGATAACATGGAAGTCGATGACTTGATCCGATTCACTGTTCAGTTCGTAACAACAAGCCTTCTAGTAGCCACGCTTAATTTTTGTGGTCAGAGGGAAAAAAAAAGCGGAGCCATGGTTAGCGAATATCTCTTGCTTGAATGCAATTTGTTCCTTGGTATTTTCTAAAAGAAAGAAAAACATGGTAAAATCCAAGAAAAGTTGATAAATTGATTTACAGCACAAAACATGTAGTGCTGGATAACTGTCACTTTTTGCTATCACATTTTAGTATATGAAAAGAATAGAAACCACATAAACTTAGGCAGCTAGAACAGCGTCTAACCAAGCGGAAGTGAAGACACCTATGGATAAAGCAAAAGGACAGAAGAAGGATAAGGTTGTTCACAGCATCCATCTATCAAAACGCTATACTATACACGTACAAATCCTCATTTAGCCAAATGTGTGTGCACTTTTGTAGAGCGTGCTTAAGGTTATTGTGGTTAAAGGTGCTCTGCAATACATAGACACTCCTTTGTTCGATCTCACGTTTTCTCCAGCCTCGATTCTTATTGTGGTGTGGAAGGTGGTGCCGTATTTATCTGATAGGATAAAAACATTGATTTAAAAAATCGGTAGGACTCCATCTAAGGTTAATTTCATTACTGATGAAAGCTAGGAATGGTATAAGGCTTTAGAACGTTGGTGAACGGTAGTGGTTATGAAGGTATATACTAAGTTCCAAATATTGGTACCGGAGCATATTGTAAATGTCTTTATCGTCAACATCTACCTATAACTTCTATGCATTAAACTGGTGTTATCTCCACAGCGTACACCATCTTAGTTAGCACAACTGCTAGAATTTTGCCCTCATACCAAACGAATAGTGGTAATGTGGTAAGCAAAAAGTCTACGTCCCATAGTTTTCAGGGCAACTTTCACCTTTGCACTGAAGATTTTTAGAAATATATCTGAGTTCTGGGTTAACACTTAAACTAAAACCTGATCTTGTTGTCTATGAGAATTCCTGTAGATGATTCTGTGTGTGAAGCTTGCCCTGTATGGCGATAGCTGTGGTGAGAGCAATGTGAAAACATCCAGATGATACACATGAACACGGGCTATGTGTCTGAACCATTTTCTTTCTCCGTTTGGGAAATCATTTAGTAAGAGAGACTTATTATGTACTTACTGGTTAACGAGAAATATTCGATGTTCACCTCAAACAAAAGTGGAAAACAAATAGCAATCACTAATTAGGAAGATCATTTCATTCAGAGCAAGTATAACTCTTACTGTTTCACAAAAAGAAACCCTAGTTCGCTGTTCAATTTTTTTCCGAATGCCAACCCTACGCCTATCAGTAAAAGAACACTTAACCAAGAGTTTAGGTCAGAGGCTTCCCAACAATTGCTATTCGAAGCAAAACACTATGGAACAATAAAATCGTTTTCGTTGGACCTCAAGATTACCTTCAAACTAGTAGATAGTGGTAATAATAATGGCAATACAATCAGAAGCAAAAGCAGTGCTAGTGGCAATCACGGAAGGACACCACATGCTGTAGAGTGGGCATCTCTAAGAGAACCTAGGAGATCGAGCCGATCAACTTTAGTAAATATGCTTTCGAGGAATAAACCTTCCTAGTATACATTGGTTGACCAAACCCTCATCCGTCAAAAACGAAATCCATCATAAAGTGAAATCACTTAACGAATTTACAAACACGAATGGGGCTGTGAATTTGAACAAAGGAAACTAACGTTAAGACTTCCTCAATGTCAATGAAAGAAAAAAAAACATTTCAGGATTCAAAAGAAAAAGACGAGGTAAAAAGTGACGAAGGGAAAGAGGGCAAAGACAAAAAGGATGAGGCGAAAGCCGAGGTACTGTAACAATTTCACGTTGTGAAAATAGGGAATTTGTTGTCAAATGAGACACTGCAAATGTGTATTATTCATTGCAATCTGCAACAAAACTGTATCCTACAAGTAGTGTAACTGGGAAAATCAGATTAAAACGGAAGCTAAGATTAGAAATGCGAAAAGACTGAATTGGTAATAATACAATTTTTCTCCAAAAGAAATCTTGCAACTTAAGAAAATTAAGGAAAAATCAAAGGAGACATCGAAAGACGTGAAACCAAGTGACGACCTAAAGGAAAAGCTTAAGGAGGCTTCAAAAAATGAAGATCAAACGCAAGCATCAACTGTGGCGGGACATCAGAAAGGAGATGAACAAGCACAGGCAACGATACCAAAACCTGACGGTGATGCACAGAGAAAGTCGAAGGACAGCGTGGAGAAGGATGATGCAACGCAAGTATCAGGAGCACCAGAAGGTGACGAGACAAAGTAAATGGTTAATGAGGACATTAAAACGGAGAATCTAATGCAAGAGTTTCCAGTAACAAAATCTGAACATATCGAATCCAAACATGAGAAAGCAAATAGGGAAGAAGCATCTAAACTTGAATCAAATCTAAAAGAAGCCTCGGAAAAAGGCGGTTAGCCCATATATATTACTACTAAGATTTATTTGAAGTCATATGACCACAAGTCGCATTTAACCATCTACAATACTACAGTACCAAATTGGGATCGTTATAGCAAGTACGTTGACAAAAACACAAGAGCATTACGAATTATGGATTATGATCTAATCAGTTGACCAATTTGTATAATAGACGATTCTGGAAAACATGAGATCCATAGAAAAAGAACAATTTCGCTGTTGCTCACGATGGAGTTGAAGAGTGATTGTTACGACGCACTCTGATTCTCAGCAGTTAAGGTTCCAGATACAAGACGAGAAACATTTTTCATTCTCTGTAAAGGACATAAAGGTGATTCCATTCGTCAGAAGCTGAGCAGCTAGGTATACGAGGTCACCGAACGCTGGCTACTTTAAACCAAAATACGTCTTAACAACGTGTTGTCATCTCATCAAGGGCAGTTCAGAAGAACCAAATAGTTTTTCTACTAATGTTACGTTTTGTTTTCCCATCCAGATTGTTATCAGATATAACAATCCTAAATTTACCAGAAATAGAACCCTTTTCCGGAGCTTACCTCGAAGGCTTCCAAACAAGTGCTTTTCGAAGCAGCTCCATGGCACGTCAGAAATTGTTTTCAAATAGAACTAAAGACCGTAGAAGACTATTTATTATGGCAAGGTATGATGTCAAATACAACCACAACGATTCTGAGATATTCGCAGAACTTGGAACCCACACCAGACCGAATCGCCATTAGCCTTTATGAGGGCTCGCGTATTACACACTGCACCACTGAGGCCCTTGCTTTGCGTTTCTCTTAGCTAGTTTTCTACCTAAAGCTGCCATTAGCAATCACCCATCAGCGGGATTGATCTAAGTAGCACAAATCGACACTGAACCCAGTTAAGTTGAAGATTTAAACGAAACCACAATGTTTACATTTTATTTGCTTCCAACTATACGAGAATATCGCTGTGGATGTAATTCACATCATACCCTGCCATGAGAAATTATAGAAAGCAGCAAATAAAAGGTTGACATTGTGATTTCGACTACGGCCTCAATTCAACTGGCTTCAATGCCGATTCGTGCTCCTCAGAGATCCCGCTGATGGGTTATAGCTGATGGCACAGGTAGACAGAAAACTAGCTGAGAGAAACGCAGAGCAAGTGGCGCAGTGTTCAATGCGCGAGCCCCCGAAAAAGTAAATCGTGGTTCGATCTGACCTGGAATCCAAATTTTGCGAATATATCAGCCTCGTTGTGGTTCTGTCTTCAGTTTCACAAGCAAATCAAATGTTATTTCAGCATTTTTGGTTCTATTGTCAGTAATGATTTATCTGTATTTACGCTAGTAACCATAAGAACTCTAGCGCAGCCTTAATTTAACCATAGCGTAACGAGAATATTCAATAAACAAGTAACAGTAATATTTTATTTTAAAAGCTAGATATTTTAAGGAAACTCATTTTATGAAAAACATAAGTGAAACCATAACGGTCGCGAGAAACACTTAAAAAATTGCTAGATGGTCATTTCTAGCTTAAAGCTTGGAGAATCAAAGTGAATTCGAAATGTCATGTTACCTCATAAGAACCTGACAACATAGTCGCAGTCATTCCCCACATTTATGTATTTCTAGAAGAATAATTTCACCTTGGAGCACCAGATTAGGATATAGAAAACAAGTTAATAGACAAGGAAAAGTAATCATACACCCTAACCGCGAGCTTATCGGCACAGAGATATCATGGTGCAAAATATTTCGTTAAGGTTGGAAAAGGTGAATGTACACAGCTCAACACATAAAGTGAAAAACGCAGATAATCATAAATATTTAGGAAGTGCAATAAAGTTAAGCCATAAGAGATTTGAATGGGATGAAAGCAGTGGCCAACAGGTAGGTTTGATTTATTCAATAAGAAAAAAATACAAAGCAACCACAAGTTAAAACCAATTTCCGCAGACTATGACTGTGACCAATTGCACAGAAACAACGCAAGCCATTAAAATAAAGTCGTCTGATAACAAAATATTCAGGTAAAATTTCATACAAGTATAAAACAACTAGGTCTAGAAAGGGATTGAAGGTATATGAGTCCAGAATGCCAGCAATATTAGTTGTTATAAGCAGATTATTTCAGGGTATATCCGGTTTATTCCAACGTAAAACCAGGCCAGTCCTTAAACATTACTGTACTTCGTCAAGCCGCCCCGATAAAAACGGATAAGATAGTCATTGTTTCCGCTCCAGTAAGTTTTAGCAACAACACAGCGTAGTTGATGATAAGAAGGATAAAGCTCTAGGCGTTGATCAATCCCTTTGGGATGCGCCATGCACTCGACTTCATTAAGCATCGTTTGGACGTGACTGAATGCACATCTGGCCTTTACAATACCTCGGAGTGGACAAACGATGTATCGATTACAATTCCTCGAAGTGGACTACCGTTGTAATGACCCAAAGCTGTTATCCTCCTAGATGACTCTGGTACCAATTTGCCGAGCCCGGAGGGATAGAGCGCTAGGTGAGCCTGTGGCGCGGTGATCGATCCCATGTGTATTCAAGGAGGCCTCCGACAACTGCGCTACACGCGCCCGTAAACAACGTAGTGGAGAGCAAAATTTTTAAAAAAACGTTTTGCATTCAATAAGGGAACTAATTGCGTGACATACTTTATCCTAGATGGTTAAACAAGAATTGTTCTGGGTCTTGCTAAGGGTACAAAATTAGTTAGTGAATCACACACTATAGTTCTTTTTTTTTAGAACAAAGACAACGAAAGTGCAGAAAAATTTTTCAAAAAACGAGACCTGAAACTTTCAATCACAGTAGTAAGACAAACAGGAAAAAAGGCCACGGCAGATACCGGTAAAGAGTCGAAGGAAAAAGCAGCAAAAGAAGAAAAATCTAAGAAAGGATAAATCGACGATAAAGCATAAAACACTTGCTACTTTTCAAATAAGTTATAATAAAGTGCTTTTACAATTTGTGGCTCGTTGGCAGTTACCTTTAATCACTTTCATCCGTACTTTCTTTCTCGCCATCACCTTTTTTATGTCCATTTTCAGTGTCTTCATCATCGCTCTCATCAGCCTTGTCGTTGTCCGAACTACCATCCTAAAATAGGAAAGTAAAATAAAACAAATTAATAGCAACACACCGAAATTTATAAAACCATGTCAGAAACGTAACTAAAAGTTAAAAGCTATTAGTACTTTAGGCATTTTCTCGACGAATCTAAACATTAAACGTTGGGAAAGAAGAGAACAGTTACCGCAACGCTTTCATTATTTGAGTCGTCTGAACCACCAGAAGCTGACTTCTTATTGGATTCTTCGCCATCACTATCGGACTTCTCCGATGGTTTATCTAAACACTGATTGCCTCATTTACTAACTATAAAATAGAAACTTTAATGAAAATGGGAAGGATTGAAAAAGTCGATAGGGGTATATCATAGTATTAATAAATCACTAAAAAAACTGCAAGTGAGATCTGAGCATTGAATAAGGGGAAAATAGAGAATTTCGGGAAATCGTAAGGCTAACTGAGACACCACAGCCCATGCCAGGAATTGTTACATTTCTGGAATGAAACTAGTCACAGATCGGCTAGACTCTGCGATCAAGAAATCCACAATAGACTAAAATAGCTACCTCAAGATTCCAGGAAAGAAATTAGGCGAAAAACCAACACAATGGATACTATACTTTCCCTTTCCCTTCAAATGAATACTTCTCATTAAAAGCACAGAAAATAAAGATGTTTGCATTTAGAAAGCATGGAGTCCGCGTAGACGGGCCCTGCAATAAATTCAAACAATATATGAGAGACGTGCGAAACAAAGGACCCGCATGGTGTGGTGGTGAACGCGTTACTCCCCGGAAAGGATAATAGCGCGTTCGTTCCCCACCATAGACACCTGCGGTCCAGAGTTTTGCAAATATCTCAGCAACGTTGTGGTTGTATTTCGCTTAGTAACCTGCCATGAAAATTATAGAAGGCAGAAAACAAAACGTTAAACATTGTGATTTCAACTACAGCCATAGCTTAACTGGGTTCTATGCCGATTTGTGCTCCCCAGATCAACCCCGCTGACGGGTGATTGCTGTGGCAGAAAGATCGATAGAAATAGCTGAGAGACGTGCGAAACAAAGGACCCGCATGGTGTGGTGGTGAACGCGTTACTCCCCGGAAAGGATAATAGCGCGTTCGTTCCCCACCATAGACACCTGCGGTCCAGAGTTTTGCAAATATCTCAGCAACGTTGTGGTTGTATTTCAAACAATATAGTTCTTTTCACTGCCTCGGGTAAGAAAGAAAGGATGACGATGAAGACAAAGGTAAGCAAATGAAGACAAGTAAAGGGCGAGTAAGGTTGAACGCATTCCACATGAAACGTGAAGAACATGCATGCCTTTACACAGCAATAGTTAAAGAACATGCAATTATAAAAATCCATCTAAAGAAAAGGAGGAATACAAAACCTTGAAAAACAAACAGTGAGAAGCAACACTTTAGAAAAACTAACTAACCAATTTCATCATCCGAATCGTAATCCTTCAGCAACGAGTTGATCCTAGTTGTCATTTGCTGTATTTCTGCTTCCGATGGATCCGTATAGGTAACATGCAAACGTGTATTGGGCTAGAAATGTGTGAACTGTAACATCTCTCCAGTTTCGTAAATATGTCAAAGGTCAAAACCGAAATAAACATGTCAAAAACAAAGTTGAAACACAATAAAAAGATGTTAACTGGAGAGGCATATAGCGCAGCGGTCGGAGGCATCCAGCAATACACACGCGATCGATCTCGATCTCACGCCCACCAAGCCCTCCATCCCCCCGGGATCGGCAAATTGGTACCGGACTGAGAGGATAGAAGCACTGGCTCGATACATCGGTAGGTCACCGCAAGTCACTGTAGAGGCCAGATATGTATTCAATAACTTCCAACGATGCTTAATGAAGTCGAATGCACGGCGCATCCCTAGGGATTGATCAACGCCTAAAGCTTTATCCTTTTTTATCTGTGTGCTTACCACACGGAATAGAAACCTGGAATGCAAGGCATAATAGTACCTACCTTCTCATGAACTGGACGCCGCCGCCGAACGAGTCGCACTTTTGTTTCAAGCTCGTTATAGTGAAAGCAACCATTCTTGTAATAGACGAAGAAATTGTCCCGTTCAAAGCCTTTCGTGTTTTTGTTCTTCACTGTCCAGGTGTACTCACGATTCAATACGTATTCATATATGAAACAGTTAAGGTTGAATCGTAACAAGCCCATCCCGAAATACAAAAGGAAAAGACAATACCAGACTTACATGGTTTCTTCAGTAAAAGTTTTTCCTTCTTCCTTGTCACTAAGCTTCTTCTGCAAAGTTTCAACGGTAGGGACAAAGTAAGCGACGAATTGTTCACCGTCATCATCTTGCATACCTCTGTAACGGTCGTAGTACATGGTCCAAGCTAGGGAAAAGGCAAAAAACAGAGCAACAACTCACTTTATGTGACTCTGGGTGACCATGCTATCACGAAGCTCAGGTGCGAATCCTACTGGTGACGGATCTGCATCGAATTGTACCAAAGCGAATGGGAATTTCCACAACTGGAAATGTTAAGCGAATGAGGAGCAAAAAACACTTTCCTACGAAGATATTGAAGACAACTAGAAATGGCCACAAAAAATAAAGGAAAAACTATTCTTCAAGAACACCTCGAAATCTGGCAAAATAGGAATTTCCTCGACGGCAGTGACACCTTTCTTCGAGAAATGTTTACGTATCGGCACTTTGGACTGGAACAACAAGAAACTTGAACGCATATCGAAAACATTAACGTCAAACGTCCAACTTACGTCTTCGAATGATTTCTTTATAAGATTAATTTGACTCTGACGATCACGGAAAATGTTCAAGTTCTCCTTGTTTTTCGTCAGATTGTATCCAACTTTAATCTCTTGCCTGCAAACATCCACTAGAATTTCAGTTCCACACGAAAATATACCCCTACATAGAAATTCAGAGATCTATGTAACCCACCTATCTGCAGCAATACCAAATCTATTAAATTCAGAAGAGATGTATTGCGTTTTCCGCATCCAAGGTACAACCTTAGAATGTTGCGCAGACCTAAAGGACTTTTGAAATTTCTCGCAAAGACACTAAAAATTAGCACTCAGAGGACTAGAAACAGTAAATGTAACCCTATAAAATTCAATTAGACAACAAGGTTTTCCACAAAATATTTATGGAAATGATCCTCTATCTAGGAACCCTTGGATGCTGGCACGCACTCCATATTTGTTCCATAACATGATAATAACCAACCAATTTCCATTTTTGAACATTCCTTTACATAGATTTCGCACAATCCTCCCAACAATTTACCGCCTCATTGTTGCTGGGAAGTGTTCCTGGGTGTCGGGCTGCGATGTACAATGGAGGGACTCATCCCTCTGGCAGGACCTCCCAAGCTGAGTCCGGCGTTTCCACAAGGAAGCTCAGCTAAGAGTAAACCAATACCACGACCCACCATTAGTCCGGTGTCAAACTAGCCGTATAGCGGCAAATCTCCCTTTGACCCACAAGGGCTGAGACCGCCCGCGGTCCCAACGACCTAGAACAGACTTTGCCCAGGCCAACCTCAGGACTCCAGAGAAGGACAATGACTAAACCAGCAAAAGTTCGAGAAAAAGGAAATTATGCTGAATCCGGCACAACTAGTAAGGATGGGCCATCAAGGTATCCCGGTAAGTAAAATTTTGAACAGTAATAAATGTTCAAGTATTCAACATCCCACCTCTTCATTTGCTTTGCATTTGAATCCTCGTCTTCTAAAAGTATGCTGTCCTTTTCATTCAACTGGAAAACAAACATCTGTGCATCTTTCATTATTTTAATTGTGCGATAAAATTTCGACCCAATAGCATAGCAAAACTCAGCAAGTAATATAAAACAATAATGCAGCAAATCTAAACTAAGAGAACTTGCAAACGCACCTGAATTTCCATATTTGGATCGATTTTGTATGTATTTGGATCTATGAGATCCAGGTTCAAGCCCATATCCATTTCGCACTGAACTTCGAATTTGTATTCCATTTCCAATGAAGTTGGCTTATAGTCGATGAACCTAATAGTTAACGCCATCATGAAAATGAACAGCCAAATGGATTTGAACTATAAACACGGAGATTCAGAGCACAAAACGACTTAAAGTTACGAAACGAAGTACTTACTTATTTGGATACTTGGACAGCCCTTCCTCAGCGGTTGCGCGGGCCGCAACATAACATCCTTTTTTGGAGTTTTGCTAGTTTGTCCATTATTGTTCTTTGGAGTCCCGAGGTCACCTCAGCCAAAGTCTGTTCCAGGTCGCCACCACCGCAAACAGTAGCCACCCTTGTGGATCAGACGGAGATTTGCCACCATGCAAGTGGTTTGGTATCACGACAGTGGAAGAACCTGGCATCACTTACTCTTAGCTAAACTTTTTGTTGGAAACACCGGACTTCTCAGCTTAGGCGATCCTGCCGGGGGATGTAGATCGCAGCCCGACACCCAGGAACACCTCTTAGCCACAACGAGGCGGTAAACCGTTTGGAGGTCCAAGCCAAACGGAGTGTGGAAAAAAACACATCTAAAAGGCTGGAAAATTGCACAAGATTCCTTACCGCTCCAACTCGACGAAAGGACATGGTAGAAATTTGCCAGGAAATGGAAGATCTGGTAGGGTATTTCGAAAACGAGGCTTGCAAATGAAATCAGGTCCACGACTGAAAGTACCGAAAGGTAGGATTAAAATAAAACTAATAGAAAATCATCTGTGGGGAATGAATCATAGAAACGAGTACCTTTTGTGTTTTCCGATTCCTGGTTTCTGGGTTGGCTGAGACATTCTCGACACTAAAAACCTGAAATGAGTAATGGCTTCAATACTACTAATGAGTCCTACTTTCCACTTGAAAACTGATACAACTGCCGATTGAAAGCGAAACAAACACTACGAAAAGAGGTTCCGGAACGTGTTTTGGTACATTTAAATGACTAATAACAGGACTTAGGTAAAGAATCCCATAATGAACTCTTCTTCCTTAGATCCTTTGGTAGCACAGGTCTAGAATTTAGCTCTGCACCATTTGAATACACCAGAAGCCTTTGCGTTCCAAAAAATGATGTCATTCTCACGAAGGGGATACGGCAGTGCTTCCTATGGCGTATAATCGATGAATTCAATCGCATTTACGGAAAAAACAACTTTGGTACGTGACTGAAAATGAAGCTTTGCGTTTTGTCTCCGTTTTATGTCCCGTTTGAGGCTTTCTAGATCCTAAAAGTGTTAGGCTTTGTTTCATAGTTATTCTTCTTTGAAGTAGATTAAATATTTGCAGTTTTCTTTGAAAATGTGAGTGAAACTTCATGGTGTTGGAATGTTTTGTAGGCGACGTACGTTGCTGCTAAACCCTTGAGCATTTCCAGAAATTTGAGTAATCACATGGAATTTTAATTGCAGAATCATCAAAATAATTCCAGAGCAAGTTGGGTTTTACATGGTACGACGTTGGCGCGGGACATTAACGCAGCCATTCGCGGTTAAACTCTTCGACGGTAGGAAGATGTTATCCCCATCTTCGTATTAGTTGTTTCAGACTTTAGGTGGTCCCTACGGGATAGCGTTTTTGACCTAACTTGCTATGGCTTTCTTTAAAATTGCTAATCTTAGCATATTTCACTGAGTGATGGGAAGTTAACTAGAAACTTCTTCATTCTACAGAAATTTTGAAATGTACAGACTTGATCCTCCTTAGCTTCACGTCGTTTAGTTGGAGCATTGTCTGGTTCTTTGAAAATGTGCTGGTTTTGGAAGCACTGACATCAAAGCTTTAACGTTTATGTTACGAGGACAGTTGTAGGTATCTGGAATGCACATCCTCGGTTTGCAACAAGAACAGTTCTGGTGAAAAACAATGACGTGGACTCTGCATTTAGCCTCTTGAACAGGTGATAGCTGGGAGATTTTTCACGTTGATATTGTCCCTGCTCTTGAATATTAGGTTGAGTTTCCCAATTTTGTTTAAAACAGGCTTCACTTAGAGATCTTTGTGTCACTTAGAGATTTCGCATATATCTGTTTGCTAACAAAGCAATGGTAAAATTTAGTTGTTCTAGTAAACATGTACTTTTCCCGTTATTCTTGAAGAGGAAGCACTTTCCTTTGTGGCTAGATCACCATCCTCCATTCTCTGGTTCTTAGATTTACTGCGTAGAAGATATTATGGGGAAAGCTTGAAAGTCTAATTATGATGTTTCTTTGCAAAACTCTGGACCGCAGGTGTCTATGGTGGGGAACAAACGCGCTGTTGTCCTTTCCGGGGAGTAACGCGTTCACCACCACACCATGCGGGTCCTTCGTTTCAGTTTCATCTCAGCAACGTTATGGTTGTATTTCGCATAGTAACCTGCCATGAAAATTATAGAAGGCAGAAAACAAAACGTTAAACATTGTGATTTCAACTGCAGCTATAGCTTAACTGGGTTCTATGCCGATTTGCGCTCCCCAGAACAACCCCGCTGACGGGTGATTGCTGTGGCAAAAAGATCGATAGAAATAGCTGAGAGACAGGCGAAACGAAGGACCCGCATGGTGTGGTGGTGAACACGTTACTCCCTGGAAAGGACAATAGCGCATTCGTTCCCCACCATAGACACCTGCGGTCCAGAGTTTTGCAAATATCTCAGCAACGTTGTAGTCTCATTATGCTTTTGTTCAACAAAACCTCATGGATTGCCTTCTAACTTACAGATATTATTTCGACGAGGTTATTTCAGTAGCGGCTAGCTTTTTTCTTTCGACCGAAGACCGTTCTCTCATTTAGATCACGTTATGTTTATTATTTATGTAGAGTATACTAGACGAACTCTCTTACAAATAGATTGATGGATGCGGAAGGGTTACTGAAGATCATTCGTCGAACTCAGTACTACCAAAAGCCCTACATGCAACGAAATCAGCTTTCCATAGAAGCGTCTTCTGCGATATTTAACGAGGACATGAACCGGAAAATGCAATTCTTGATGAGGAAGAATCGTCCTGATGCCTTTCCAGGCCAGATAACGTCGTAATATGATTTCGCTCTTCTAATGAGTAGTAAATAGGGAACATATGTCTCAGTTGTTCGTTTTATTTTGTGTTTGCATAAAATAAAAGGATAAAACTTTCGGTGTTGATCTATCCCTGAGGGATGCGCCATGTATTCGCCTTCATTAAGCATCTTTGGAGGTGACTGAGTGTATACCTGGGTTTTACAATGACTCGCGGTGGCCTACTGATGTATCAAGCGAGTGCTGCTATCCTCCCACACAAGTCTGGTACCAATCTGCCGACCTCGGAGGGATGGAGAGCTTGATGGGCCTGGGGTGTGGGGAGCGGGAATCAATCTCAGTGTGTTGTTGGGCGCCTCCGTCCACTGCGTTACGCGCGCCGCGTTTGCATACTCATACAGAATTCTGAGAGATTTTCATCATGACAAGAACAAAACCGAGGGGCAATAAGCTGAGTTGATCAACTGATGACTGTCGTTTGTCGTGTGAAGTCAACTTCTGGCATACGAATTGGGATTTCGAAAAGAGTATCATCCGCTTCATCGCGATCTTGCATCGCATGCAGTCTTCTAGAAAACAAAGATTGGGTGAAGACAAAACAAAGATTTCTTATTTATTTCTTAAAGAAGAATTTGTGTTCACTGAGACAGTCTTACCTTCCAATGGTTTACCACCTCATCGTGGCTGGGAGGTGTTCCTAGGTGTTGGGCTGCGAAGTACAGCGGGGGTTTCATCACAGCAGCAGGGCCTCCCAAGCTGAGAAGTGGTCCTGCATTTCCATCGGGAACCTAGCTAAGAGTAAACTAATACCAGGAAACACCGCCATCATAGTATCAAAGTACTCGCATGGTGGTAAATCTCCCTTTGGTCCACAAAGGCTGCGACCGTCTGTCGTGATGAAGACTTGGGGCAGACTTTGGCCAGGCTGTTCTTTGGACTCCAACGAACCACAATGGCTAAATTAGCAAGTCTCCGGAAAATTGAAATTATACTGGAACCCGCACAACCAGTGAGAACTGGCCATCCAAGTATCCATGTAAGTAGGAGGAAGTCTTTGCTGTTGGTGCGAATTTCTTTCTTGAAGTTATATGTGGATTTAACAGTATTAAGAGCTAACGATTGCCACAGTGGCTTTATTGGCAAGCAAGTTTATTCCAAAGAGGAATTCTGTTGCTGATGATCGAGATATTGCCAGAAAACAGAGGTTAGAAAATCCTTCTAGAATTCGGGTCTCCTTAAGTTGAACTGTTACTTGAAAGTTTAGTACACACCATCTTGTAGCAATTCTTTTTACAAATGCAGGCCAAATTTGAAATGAAGTTGAACAATGTTCTGTTGGTTGGACACCTATCATGTCGCTTAACGGTGAAGTCAAAATTGGAGGTTTATTTTCTTTTTCATTTTTTTATGACCAATCTTCACGTCTACTGTGGCGATCTGAGAACTTCTCACATTCGATTCGTTTCCTTGCATCCATCATCTTCCAAGGTCTTCCAACTTTTACATGTAGCTTCGGCTACCGCTTGAGGATTTTCATTTCATTTTGAATGTCGTAGAGTGCCGGTCTAGTCGATTTTCCCTGAAGTGCTGAGATGGCTGGACTTTAGCGTTCCCAATTGGACCACAGAGAGTGGTTTTTTCCCGGACAAGTCTGGTACCAATTTCTCCATCCCGAAAGTATGAGAGGTCTGATGAACCTGGGGCGCGATCGAACCAGCACAGTGATCATGATGATAGGAATCACTATCACTGTTCTAGGTGCCCCAAAATCGGGAGTGCAAGGGTAAATATAAAAGGTTTAAAAGATATAATTAAAAAACGATTTATACTGGTGCTGGAAACTACGCATGGTTAATTATTTCTACTTACCGCTGATTACGTTGCGCATTATTTCGGACAATATATTCATGGTCCTCTTCATCCCAAAATGTATTGATTGCTGGTGCTGAAATTCGGAAATGTTTCTGAGAAGGTTGGATTGGGTACTTTGCTACATTTTTTACTGATACACTTACTTTAATTTATTTTGCATTTATCGATTTAACGTTGTGCGATGAGTGACTAAATTGTTGTAAAGCAGAAACTTCGCTTACGAGGCTGATGTTTACTCCTTTGTCGTTCTTCCTTCTTCCTTCGCTCCCTACGTGCTTCTTTCGCTGCCTCTTTCGCAGCTTGTAGAGCAGCTTCTCGTGCAGCCTCTTGAGCAGGTTCGCGAACTTCATGTGTGTCAGGACATGGTGATGGACGTCGTGCTTTCTGCGCTGCTCCCGTTCGAACTTTTTCTAGACGCGGTCGCGATTCGACGACTTCATTCTTCTTGTTGATATTATGGTCTGTAATAGAGAAAAGAATGAAAGTGGGACTTTTCAGAGCCTAAGTTTCCCCGCTCTCTACTTTTTAATCGGTCTATTCTATTTTTAGTCGGTTTGCGAACTTCAGACCTAGTACTTCTGAACCAAAACTGAACCACTTGGGTTAGTCGAAAGATTCCATAGCCATCAAATTCACATGTTTTCTTTGTGTTGCAAGTGCTTGGTTCTTCATTCGCAAGAGAGAATATTCACTATACCCTTATACTTTGTTTTCTGTACTTGTACATTTTATGCTCAAAGAGGTTCATTGAAAGATATTCTATTGGGTCAGAGAAGAGAAAAGAGACATTTGTTAACATTTCGAACTAATTGTTTTAATTAGGGAGAACAGAACCGGCTGAACAAGTTTTTCTTGGGATACAGCTGGCATGTCAGGATGTTGAGGTGGTGAAACACATCCAATCTGATGATTAGCTTAGTACGCATTTACTGATGCTGATACTAATCTTTCTCACTCCTTTCTTACCATTACACATATATGGTTGTTATGAATTTCTTACATCGCTCTAACCTGAGTGAACGTGAGAATTTTTTCACTATCTATATCAAGACGTCTCCTACCGCTCGGTGTTTTCTCCTTTTGTTTTGGAACAGATTTCTTCTCCTTCGTGGAACGTTGTGTGGTGTTCTCCAAGCTTGATGACTCAGTGTTCCTGCATTCTTGGTATCATCGTATTTTCAGAAATTGGAACAGAATTACTTTGAGCAGAATTTCCTTAATCGACTTAAGAATTTAAATCATTTCAATATTCTAACTCGAAATAAGTGCATTTGTCATCGCGCTAGGTGTCGTTCGCTAGAAACGCAGATTATTAGCGTCAACTTAACACTAACTAATAATGCGTTGTCGTGAGAAGACGAGACGAGAAAGTGGGAGGGAACGGTTACGTTGATTTATACACAAAAACCTTGGCTGAGTTTTGGGTATCGCTTTGGGTGGGAATAACCTAGTGCGATTTTAAACTCTTGTCAATAAACTTACTGAACGGTAGCCGAGCAAACATTGGATCTCTGCAATTTGTTTCAGATAAATCAATAAGTAGTCTTCATTCTGCTGATTTATTTAAGACTGATGAACTTACATCAAGCACTGAATGTGATTTTTCTGAAGAAATTTTCGAGTTTTTCTTGCTATGAGTACAACCCATGGGTGCTGTAATGGATTGATTAATGCATTCGTTATATTTTAATTATTACTTCCTTACGAGTCCCTTCAAATATTCTAAAAATTGAGTTTAGTTGCAAATCTAAGGAGATGGTAGACGGACGCTTCTACTGTGGTAAAGGTCACGAACAAGGCTAGAATCAAACATTCGTCACCTACCAACTAGGAAACAGACTGTGAAATAAGCATGATCTGAATGATGTATGAGCACTAACTGTTTTTTTGTTATCAGCCTTATCTTTGGAGAAATGATGAAAATACTCTTAGATTAAAGGAAGTCGAGGCGTCCTACATTTCTTAAAACCCGTTTGGAAGAAAATAACTTTAAAAATTTGCCGTTTTTGCTGTAAGGATACGTCTCCACTAAGATTTATGAGCAACCTAGCTCAGTTGCCATTAAACTGACAACGTTTTGTTTGAGTATGAGCTTTTTTCTGAATATCGAGGCAAAGTAGCTATAGTTTTCCCAGATCACCATCATAGAAACCACCGACTGTTGTTGACCAGTGGAACAAAGGTTTACAACGTTATCACTAGGATCCTTCAGTGGTTGCTGGTACATTTCGGCTCTTAGTTTATTTCGAGTTCAACTATCCCATGAAAGTGTGGAACTACAGAGACTATTAGCATGGATGTCTTTGGGGTTCCATAGCTGTTAGGGTTGTAATGAGATTTTTGCCATAGGTATGTTAGTTCGTTCCATTTATGTCGAGGTGTTACAGGAATCCCTAGGCATTTTGTTGAGCACACTAAGGATATCATCCACGCCTAAATGTAATGGTAGCTGGAATCCTTCGAAATCTTCAGGATGAATTGTTGCTGTAGACACCTCTTCAATTACGTTGTGTCATCTGCAGGTGTTCCAATATGCTTTTACCTAAATGTTTAACAATACATGAAGAAACGGTCGTAAAGGAATAAAGGGTTCGGCGTTGGTCAATCCTTTAGGGACGAGGAGTAATTTCGACATCATTCATAGTACGGTACAAGATAAAAGTGACTGAATGCATATTTCCCCCATGTAGTGACTTGTAGGATCCCACTGATGCATCGCGTCGGTGTTCCCATCTCTCCGGGCAAGTCTAGTATTACTCCCACGACCGACTTTCTATTAACCTCGGTATTACTCCATTATTGTATTATCTAATTATCTAGTATTACTTTACATGTCAAGGATGGACTGAAGGTTTAGCTTGCCCAAGGCGTGGGATCTGACCAAGGATTACTTGTGTACTTCAGAGCACCTCTAACTGTGCGCTACACGAGCAGCGAGCGTCTACCAACGTTACCCTTTATATTTTGGTATCTTGTTAATAAGTGCTTACCAGTGGATCAACCCCACTGGTTTTGGAATTCGATTTTTGTTCAGTTTAGTTGATTAGGTGCATATTTGGCACGCGCAGTGTCTTGAATATTGATGTATCACCTCGGCGTTTTTTTATTCTGTCAGATCAGGATGAATGCGAAAAGCTTGCTCAGCTCTTGGTGCTGAATATAGCCTAAGAGCACTTTTATATTGTAGGACATCTCTGGCAACTGCGCTATGATCACCCAGTATTTTATCCATTATGTTGAAAGGTCAGCTACAATTTTAAACCTTTTAACCACAACGTTGCTGAGATATTTGCAAAACTCTGGACCGCAGGTGTCTATGGTGGGGAACGAACGCGCTATTATCCTTTCCGGGGAGTAACGCGTTCACCACCACACCATGCGGGTCCTTTGTTTCGCACGTCTCTCAGCTATTTCTATCGATCTTTTTGCCACAGCAATCACCCGTCAGCGGGGTTGATCTGGGGAGCGCAAATCGGCATAGAACCCAGTTAAGCTATGGCTGTAGTTGAAATCACAATGTTTAACGTTTTGTTTTCTGCCTTCTATAATTTTCATGGCAG